AATTTTTGATATTTATTTTTTAGTTTTCGGCAGACACAACATCTTTGTTTGTATGTGGTGCTGAGGATCGAACCCGGGCCGCACGCATGCCAGGCGAGCGCGCCACCGCTTGAGCCACATCCCCAGCCCCCTGAAATTCTTTTTTGTCAGGTGCACAAAGGACCCTATGCTCCTGAGTGCAGGGTTCCTTCTCTGTGACTTTCTCAGACCCTCCTCTGGTGACAAGCTCACTGCTACCCTCTCAGGAGCAGTCCCTTCCCTTCCTGTCTCTCCTCAACCCTCTTCTACTATAAAAGACTACACCCTCAAGGTGGTTTTATTCTTTTTAAAGCCACAAACACTATTAGTAGTCCAGCACCTAAGGACCCCTTCTTAGGATGTCTATAAATGTCTAAAATACAAAAGAAAAAAAATGCTAAGACAACMAAATGTTATAATATGTGCTTCTTTATTAATTTATTAAATAATAAGATTTATTGATAGCTCTAATTACTAACTTAATTTCAAAGTACTGATGAGTGTAAATTATTTTCAAGGTACCTGCAAATAACTATAGTATGGCTGGAAAATACTGCTAAGACTATCATGGATTGTTGCTGACATTTATAATCAGTTCTGGTTAGTAAAAATAAAAATGTACTCCTCCCCCTTCCAAATGAAGAAGACTTTTCTTTTAATTTTTGAAGATATAGAGAAAATTCTATTACAAATGAAAGGAAGGAGGTTAGATAAACAATTTTAAAAAGATGGAAAACATGACCAGGAGACCTATCAGAATCATCTTGAAACTGGGCTGAGTGACTTGCTTCTGGACTTAATGCATGTCTAAGACCTGAATGGGCAGGGCTGGAAACAGGTGCTCTGCTCTCCTGGGAGTCCACATGCAAGAGGGAGCTACCATTCAGCTGGATCATCTCAAATCCCAAGGTACTGTTATGCCAGGCATTATCTCTCCYTCTCCTCTCCTGCCTGTTCTTGAATCTGGCACCTTCAATTCTTAGCATGGGCTTCCTCTCCCCACCCCTAAAACAGCTTCTGTGCCAGCTCTGTATTGGCTTTGGCCTAAGGAAGAGGTTCTCAGTGTGTGAAAGGTACAGAGCAGAGCAACCTATCTTAATGGGTCCTCTCACCCTGTAGTCTTAAAAGATTTTCCACCAGGGTAGAACTGAAGCTTTTATCTCCTCAACCCAGAGTCTGGACTTCTTAAAAGAAACTACATAACATAAAAACAGTGCAGTGCAGATATAGGTTTCTAAATGCCTTCCTAGGGGTGGGGGCTGGAGACAAGGCCAGGATTTATAGAGGGAGTTGGCCTTTGTGCTCTTTGGGGGTCTTTCTCCTGACCACAGGGCTATCTGTGATGGGTGGGGGTTGTGTGTGTGTGTGTGTGTGTGTGTGTGTGTGTGTGTGTGGTACTGGTGACTGAACTTAGGGGCAACTATGACTGAGCTACAATCCCAGCCCCCCTCACCCCATTGCAACAGGGGTTCACTAAGTTGCTGAGGCCTCAAAGGAGATCCTCCTGAGTAGCTGTGATTATAGTCATCCAGAGGGCCAGATTTGGGGATAGGGTATTTTATTTCCCCTGCAAGAGCAGAGTCCTGATCAGGAACAGTGATGTCCCTGCTCAGAGACATTCTGAGATCCAAAATGAGCCTAAGACCCTGTTTTAGGATGAAAGCTTCCAGTGCGTTCATCACATCTCCCCAAGGGTGGGCAGCTACAAGCCCTGACCCAGGTATTCTACTTGCTTGGGTAGCTACCCTGCCAACTCTGCATACAGGCTGCAACTCAGCACTGTCAGTGGGAAATAAGATTTCAATTTCAGGGAACCCTACAGCTGCAGGAATCCCCGAAAGCTGTCAGGCAACAGGCCCCCTCCCCAGCACATAGGAGCTAGGGGCTGCACAACCTGGTGGCTTGAAAGGCTTCACCTACCTACTAAAACATTCCAAATACACAGTGTAAATAAATAGCAGTCTCAAGAAGAAACACACTCCCCTTCCCCAATGCTGCAGTCCCCAAGCCCCACCTAGATAGAAATTCTGGAGCTTGCAGCATTTTGCAATTCAGAGCGCCGCAGCTCAGGGCTGGATTTCCCAACCTGTAGAGGCCGCAAGCTGCGTCTCCGGGGCGGGTTATGCCAGTAAACCCCAGCAAGTCCCAGCCCGCTCAGAATTAACGGGTCTGACTGTGCCAGGAGAGAGGACCCATACACATCTCAGAGCCCCTCCCCGTTTAGGCACCTGCCCTCCAGAGCCGCGTGACCCACCCCCTGTCCTGGTCGCTRGAATCCAGCAAAACTGCTGAGTTCCGGGGACCCCAAGGCATTAGTCTGCGACCCTTTAGCCCATGGTGGTGTAGAGGGAGGCCCTGCTTTGGGAGGTGGAGGAAAGAAATAAACACAGGGAGACTCTTCACAGGAGGGGGAGCCCCTGGTAGATGCCCGAGGGCTTGGAGCCCAGAAAGAGAGAACAGGGGTCTCTTCTGGAAGGGGTCTCAGGTGTGGCAATGGGGCCAGCGCCCTGCGCAGCGCGGAAGGCTCAGGCCCCGCACGCGGCACTCCACCTCCCCACTCCCCCACACCAGCACTGGGTGGCCTAGAACCCACCTCCGTGGTCGCCGCCCTCTCACCTGAAACCACTAGCGCTTCGTTGGGCCCCACCGTGTGACAGTTGCCCATGGTGTCGGCGGGACGCAGTGGCTTCGGCCGCCCGGACCTGGACAGCAGCAACGGGTCCGCAGCGCCGGCCGCGCCCAGCCTATCCCGCCACCCCCAGCGGCTGCCCGCCCGCCCGCCCGCCCGCGCCCCTCTGTGGTCGCAGCCCCGCCGGAAGTGTGGCGGCGGAGGGCGGGGCCCGCTTGCTGAGAGGCAGGAGCCAGCCGCGAGCCTTGGCAGTCAACTCGCTTTATTACAGGGGGCTCCAGATGGCGGGGCCCAGCCCCAAAGCACCCCGGAAGGCGGAAGGCATCCCGCTTACTCCCTCGGGGGCACCTGGTTACGACTGCGCAGTCCTGGCCCACCTCCCGTCACGCACCTTACAGCAGTCGGCCCTGGTGTCAGACCCCTGGATTCACCCGTTACTCCTCCTTACTAGCTGAGACCGTGAGTCCGTCCTTCGCTGGGGAACCTAATCCCGTTTCTGTAAAATGAAGGTAATTTAACTACCCAGCTAGATGGTTCAGTACTTCTCAGCTTTGGGCAGTGCATTAAATTACAAATTGCCTGGCCTGGCCCGAGAACTGATCAGAACCACTCAGGGTAGGGCCTGAGAAGCCGTTCCTGGCACATTACCTTCCACCCCTGAATCTGGGGCTACGGTCCCTCTCAGGAAGAAGTAGTCATCCATTATTTCCTTCTACCAGGAAAAGAGCTGTCCTGGATACACTTAGGGGCCCCAGAAAGTAACCATAAAGGTAAAAGTGGAAAACCCCTCAGTGCCCAGGGCTTGGGCTGGCACACCGCTGAGGTTTTCAGCGTCAGGAAGTGCCATGGAAAGCATCCAAGTGTGGGGGTTAGGAGACTTGGGGTTCAGGCTCAGTTTTAACCTGAATTCGATGTGTAACCTTAGAAAAGTCTGGTGAATTCCGAGGACCAGGGAAAGGTTCAGAAACTGTGGGCTCCTCAGGGTGGGGAGTGTTTGGAGAACATGGGGCCCCTGGGTCCTCAGGTTGGAGCTCTTCATCAGGTTCATCATTCTCCCCAGGCCTAAGCCCTGCCAGCCTCATGCTGGCCTCCCACAGTCGCTGGGCTATCCTGTCATCTCGGGCAGCTGGGAGCACCTCCTCCACATGGCAGTTGGCAAAGTATCTTCCACTGAGGGGCTCTATGCCCTCTTGTAGAGCACAGTACAGGGGAGTCTGGGCACCTCCTTTGGGCGCCCGGAGTACCAGCCAAGCTAGTGGGCGCAAAAGTGGACGCAGCCATCCAGGAACATGGCGCAGGAATAGTTCTGAGTTCACAGGCCCTGTGAGTAGAAAGGAAGGATGATGTAAGAGTAGTTAAACAGAGCTAGAAGGGAACCGGGGACAGAATCCCATTTCAGGGAAAACAGGGTAGTACCTACCAGGCATTCAGGGGGCCCCCAGGTGAGTTCACTCAATTCCCAATAGGACACCTTCTTCTATCCATCCAAACTGCATATGCCCCTCTCCCAGATTTGGTCATGCTGTGTCTCCTGCCTCCCAGGCTCTCTCTCTTAATAGCTCAAGCCCCATTCCCTTGTTTAACCCGCATTTATTAAGTACCTATGGTATATCAGGCACTGTTTTGGACATTAAGGATATGAAGTTTGGGCATCAGAGATAGGAAGTTTAAAAGCTTAATAAAAGCCTAATGAAGGCTAGTAATGAGTATGCTTATTATCACTATTATAACTACTAATATGCCTTAAGCAATGATTATCTAAAATGCAGTCTGGCAATATCAGTAGGGCAGCTCTTACTATCCAGGTATAACCTAGTCTCTCTCTCTCTCTCTTTGATCCTCCTGCCTCAGTTTCCCGAGTCAATTGGATTACAGGCATGCATCACTGTGCCCATATAACCTATTCTCTAAATCTATTGGTCAATTACCTCATCTAGAGTAAAAGTTAAATTGCTAAGGCTGGCTTTGAACTTTTGATTCTCCTGCCTCAGCCTCTTGAGACACTGGGATTACAGGCATGCATCACCATGCCTGGCTTTCTTTTTTTTCTTCTTTTTTTTTTTAAATTTCTTTTTGTAGTACTGGGGATTGACCCCAGGGGTGTTCTACCACTGAGCTATATCCCCAGCCATTTTTATTTTAAGGCAAGGTCCTGCTAAATTGCTGAGGCTGGCCTAGAATTTGCCAACATCCTCCTGCCTTAGCTTCCTCAGTCACTGGGATCATAGGTGTGTCTCGCTTCAAATGTCACATTGTCAGATGTCTTCATTGATTGCAATTGATAAAATAGACCTTCATTGATTGCAATTGATAAAATAGGACCTTCTGGCATTCTATATTCCCCTAGAAGCTTTTTTCTTCTAGACATCAACAGATTTATTTAGGAAAGCAGATAAACATTCTTGGGAGAAATGTGGGCTTTCTCAAGGGACAACATCTTTTGGAATAAAGTAAGAAACACACATTCAGGGGAGAATGCAGCTATCCTGAGAGTGCAAAGGAAAATGTGGCCATCTTGATGGTGAGAAGCTTTTGGGGTAAAGCAACGAATTCACATTGAAGGGACAATGTGACTCTCTCCATGTGGAGAGAGTGTTTTTTTAACCCTTGGTGTGGGGTGTTAATATTTACAGAGGGGTGGTTGCTGGGGTCTGGACTGTAGGTGCAGTCAGGGGAGTCATACAATTTTGAGCCTGCTTCTCCAGCATTTGATCTTTACCCCTTGTCCTTTTTTGCAGGCAAGGTCAAGGGCAGGAGCCAAGGACATGGGGTGGGCTGCTTATTGTGTTGCAGGTCTGTGGGGAGAGGAAGATAGGAATTTGGGGATACAGAAAAGGAAAGGTAGATTGAGTCCCTGTGTTCAATCCCCAGCATTAAAAATTAAATAATTAAAAAATTTGGGGCTGGGGCTGTAGCGCAGTGGCAGAGCACTTGCTTACCATGTGTGAGGCACTGAGTTTGATCCCTACCACATAAAAATAAATAAAATAAAGGCATGCTGTCTATCTACAACCACACACACACATAAAAAAATTTAAATTTAAAAATAAATTTATTTTTAAAATTTAAAAAATTAAAAATAGAATGAATAGGATGAATTTATTTACAGTTATACTACTCCCTTTCTCTATAGTATTTTATCACCCACCTGCCATTGGCATGTGTCCCTACCACTGAGTTATACCCCAGCCCAATGCCTGTGTTTTGTTCACTGTTATATCCCCAGTGTCATGAATAATGCCTGATACGTAGCAGCAGGTACTTAGTAAATGCTCCTTGAATGAATGAGGAGATTATTATTAGCTATTATAAGCATCACGTTATGCTCAGTTTAATCAGTATCAGTGGCCCGGTGGGGTAAGATCCCAGGTCTTATTCTTGTCACATGCTATCCAGCAGTCAGTGTCAGTGCTTGAGGCATGACAGGAAGAACCCACCTGGGGAGAGCCTAGTTCCATGATTAGCAAGGAAGAGGTCTCCTCCTTGAACTATGCTTCTTTCCTGCTCTGAGATTCTGTGATTCAGTGGGAGGTTAGGGAAGTTCAGGATGGGGTCAATGAAGGGAGAAGGGGAAATAGCAAAGAGCCAGRCTTACCTGGGTGGGCTGCATAGCAGGTGACACCAGTGCCCTCAAGCTGGGTGGCGAGCTCTCGGGCAAACAGTACGTTGGCCAGCTTACTGTCGGCATATGCCCGCAGCTCCTGCTGCCAGCCCACCACTGGGCGGTCCAGGCGTGTGAAGTCAAGGTGTCCACGCCGGTGGGCAGCTGAGGATACCACCACGACACGGCTAGGGGYGCATGTCTTCAGGCGAGGGAGCAGCAGATGTGTCAGCAGGAAGGGGCCAATGTGGTTCACCCGCAGCAACAAATTAAAGGTTTCTCGGGTTCGGCCACAGGAACTGATCCCTGGGGTAGGGGCTAGGTGTGAGTAGCTGCTCCAGAAGAAGCCTGGCAGGCCTCAGCATCCCAGTCTGTGAGATGGAAATAGGGGCAACCTTCCCATGTGTCTACTGGCCCCTGGCAGGGCCCAACTGGAGGGGGCAACTGCCCCTGGCCACCCCCCACCCCCCTACAGGGCCTGCAGCCCCTCACCGGCATTGTGGATGAGGATGTCCAGCCGTGGCTCAGACCTCAGGAAGGCAGTGGCAAAGGCCCGCACCGAGGCGAGACTGGCCAAGTCCAAGGCCATGAAGATGACCTCATTGTTCCCACTCTCCTGTGGAGTGGCAAGGGCTCGGATTGTCACCAGGCACTTCCCTCCTTTTCCCTTTCCCCAGGCACCTAATTCTAAGAGTCCATCTCCTGTTATTATTGAAATCTGCCCTTATGTATCACAGTGTAATGGAGCTGGGGATACAGCTCTGTTGGTAGAGTGTTTGCCTCGAATGCACAAGGCTCTGGGTTCAATCCCTAGCACCACAAAAAACAAAACAAAACAAAACAAAAAAACAGTAAAAGCAACTTGTATTAAAGTGTAATGGATAATGGATTCAAATCCTGACTGCCTCTTACTAAAGTGTGACCTTTGGCAAGATACTTAAATCTTTCCGGGCCTCAGTTTTCTCACTTTAAAATGGGAATAATAATAATAATAACAATAATAATAATACCTATTCCATAGAATTGTTGTGAAGATTAAATAAGTTAACATTTGTAAAATACCCACAGTCAGTATTGTGTAGGTATTTGCCAGTATGTCCTCTTTCCCCATTATCACTTACCCTAAAATCTGTAACAGACTTTTCATTGTTTTTAAATTACCCACTCTTGCACCACACAGTCACAAAGGTTTCATTTCAAAAGGCCACTTTTCTATCAGAGCCTACTGAGATCTGTTTATTGATCTCAGCTGCCCATCCTAAAAGTTCAAACTCCTCAATGTAATGTGTAAGGGCTCTAGAAACTGAGCCCCTTCATGTTGCCTCTTCCTCAAAGGTTGTGCTTCAGCCTCATTAAATCTCTCTCTTTTTTTCCAGTTTCTCAAATGATACTCTAGCTTCAGGGCCCAATTTGCATATGTGGTTCCCCTGCCATTCCCTTTCCTACTGCTCTTCATTAACCTAACTCCCACTGATCCTAAAACATCTTAGATGAGCAATTTCTTCCTTTACAGGAAGGCTCCCCAACAACTTAGTTGTGGTCTCCTTTCTTTTCTGACCAGAGCACTGCCCCCTCTTCCATACTTCATGAACTGAGCAGCTCTTTCAGGAACTGGATCCCTCGAGCCTGGTTCCCCGTCCCATCTGCTCTGGCTTTCCCTCACCTGACGGAGGTCGAAGGCGGCTGCCTCCCCGCGCTCCCGGCTGCGGCAGGCCAGCACCACGCGCGCTCCTCTGCGCGCCAGCTCCAGCGCCGTCATCTTCCCGATGCCGCTGTTGGATCCTGCAGGCGGCGGGCGGGAGCCAGCTGAGCCCCGCGGGCTGCCGCCCCGCAGCGGCGGCCTCCCACCACCCGCACGCCACACTCATCCCGGCACTCACCCGTGACCACGGCCGTGCGGCCGCGCAGACTGCCGATGCCACCGCACGGTGGGGCCTTCACTAGGTTATAGTAGATTAGCACATAGGCGCCTAGCACCAGCCCGGCGCCTAGCAGCAGTGTCTCCATTCCGACCGCGCCGCCGACTCCTGCCAGGCTCCGCTCCACCCAAAACGCTGCCCTGAAGCTGCGGCCCTTCCTGGCCTGGGCCTGGAAGAGCACGGCGCGCGCCTCAGCGGAGGCTGCTGGAGGCTGGGCRAGGGTGTGTGTGCGTGCGTGTGCGCGTGGCCCTGCGAGCGCCCCCTAGGCGTGCGTCTGCGTCCTTTGGCGGTGTGCCTTTGTGAACAACTTGGAGCTGCTTTCATACATCTGGGCCCGGGGAGCGCCCCCTAGGTGTGTGCCCGCCAGCGCCAAGGGAGTGCCCGTAAGAGATATACAAGCATCTGCAACGTCTGTGGGTGTGTGAATGACTAATATGTGTGTACATGCCCAAGGGCCTTGGGGGTCACCCTTTAGTTGTGTGGGTGCCTCTGGATCCTGTGAAATACTTCGTGGGCGTCTGTGCCCATTCAGGCAGAGTCCCTCCAGGCCTGTGCATGCATCTGCAATCTCCACCAACGCTGTTTGAATGAGCATCTGTTTACTCTAGGTGTGAATATGTAGCAGAGTCCCTCCGTTCTAGAGACATGAATGGGCTGTCTTTGAGAGCCCAACTACACGCCTTCTCCTTCAATGAACAAATCATTCAATGTCTCAGCCACACATTCAGCCTATCGGATTCTTCCCTATCCTTCCCACACAGCCCAGAAAGGGAACAGTACTCACTCAAGGTGGCACTAGCAGTTGACTGCCAGGATTCACTCAATCATTTGTCTATATTCCCCTACCCCAAACCACTTCTGAAGGGAAGCAAAAAGATAGTAAAACATGTTACTGCTCTTCAGGAGATGTCTCTGGACTAGTTCTCATAGAGGGTAGAAACACTAAGACACTAAGGATGGTAAAGGTGGGCAGGGACGTCTAGGCAGGTATGGGTAAGGGCACTCCTGGCCAGGTAATKTGGCAGGACCTTGTCTGAGAAAGCCATTATGATTTAGCACCTTATGTTTGGAACTTACAGTATACCAAAATCTCAGGGAGGGTCCCCTCTCAGGGAGATGACAGGCAGGAAACATAATTTGAAGTATAATTTGGAGTATTTTAAATACTAAGCAGAATATAAAGCTTCTATCCTTAGAGTTCAAGAAGCCCATTGTAACAGGGGTGCAGTGGCAGAGCCAAAACTAGATGGGAACAAGGACAGACTCGAGTCCAGAGATCTCCTGCACTTTGGACTCAGTACAATTACAGATGTTGTGTTTGTTCTCTAAGGGGGGGGGGGCACACTAATACACAGATAGGCACCACCTACTCAATCAGTGCTGGAATGCACAGGTGTCCTTGAGGAGACTGTCCTGGGGAGTCTTCCTGGGGAGTCTCTCCCTAAGGTYTGGAGAAGGACAGAAAGATTTGCTTTCATGAGGGGTCCCCAAGGCTTTAGAATTAAGATAATTAGCAGACTTGCCTTCTGATGGGAACAACAGTTTTCAAGTTGGGATCATATGCCACACAGAAGTGGCATAGCAGACTCTATAGACCAAATTCTATATTAGGGTTCTCCAAAGAAATGACACTCCCGGGCTGGGGATGTGGCTCAAGGGGTAGCGCGCTCACCTGGCATGCGTGTGGCCCGGGTTCGATCCTCAACACCACATACAAAGAAAGATGTTGTGTCCGCCAATTAAAAAAAAAAAAAAAAAAAAAAGACACTCCCTTAGCAGATGCACTCCTACCCTTCCTTTGCCCTCCACTCCACTTAGGCTCATTCTTTTCCAACACCACCCCTCTCTCCTAGGCTTCTCTTGGAGGAATATCTGAAGAGACCTATTCTAAGGGTCCCCTACATATTGGGCCCAGATCTCAGGGAGGGTCCCCTCTGAGGGAGATGACAGGTAGGACAGACAGGCAGAAAACATAATTTGAAATATTTTCGTTTTTTTATATACAGAATACAGGAAAGTTTCTGTAAAGTCTAAAACATTACAATTACTATGTACATTGGTACTAGTTGTGGGGGTGGGAGGAGAGGAGGGAGCCAGGGGTGGGAGGAAAAGGAGAGAAGTGGCAAGAGAACAAAAAAAAGGAGACAAAACAGGTTTACGACAAAAACATTTTTGCTACAATAGACAATTTGAGAAAACGCTCTACCACATGTAGTACTGTACACAGTTTTTAAAAACATTGAAAAAATGTCATCACTAGATGTATTTACACAAAATCCAAATACACTTTTTCCTTATTTGAAATAAAATAGATGGACAGCCAGAAAAAGAATTCATTTCTCATTTGTCCATAATACACAGTAGCTACCTGTAGTGCAACCGCTGCAGAAAGGGAAAATAACTTGGAAGGTGGGAACCATGGAAAGAGGGTGGGTAGCGATCTTTATATTAAATAAAACAATGATATTGTATAGATTTTGCTGTATGAAAACTGTATTTTTTTCTTTTAATATAAAACTATTGTCACTGCCACAAAATAGAACAAGTTTCTGATTATTTTACAACGGCGGGCGAGGGGGAAGGAGCAGGAAGTGGGGGAAGGGTTTGTATTGGAGGAAGTGTCCAGACCATGGATCTTCCCCTCCCTGCCCACGCTGTTCCTCAGCTCGGGTCTGCCGCTTTCCCATGAAATGTTGAGTACAAATATATGTGCAAATGCCCCCTAGAACTTGAGAAAAGAAAAAGGATTTTTAAAAAAGTCAAAAGGTTTTCTTCATTTCATGCAAAGATTGTAGTTGAAGGGTTTCTGGTAGAGTATAGAAAACACCCGGGCTTGGTTTGTGTACATTTTTGCATTGCAGGAGTCTTGGGTGGGTATATAGGCTGGTGGCAGGGTAGTCACCAGCCCTAGGGAACGGAGTTGGAGCGCAGCACAGGGCCCTGGTGGGGCTTGAGAGACAACTTCTCAGCCAAGACCCCATCCTGCAGCAGGCTGGCATCGCCTTTGGGCTGTTTGGTCGCAAACTCAGTGATGCTGAAGACAAACTGCAGGCAGCCCAGCTTGATGTAGCTGCCATGGTGCAGTAAGGCCGTGCCCTCCCAGCCGGCCCCACTGCCCCCAATCAAGCTTGAGCTGCTGGCTTTGCAATTGCAGGGTCTCCGCGGTGGCCCCTGGGCCTGGGAACTCATCATGGCTGCCTCTTCACTTGGCTCTTCATCCTGTTTCTGGTGGCGGCGGCGCCCTGGGAAAAAGGGGGATGGTCACAGGAGAGGTACACTGAACAGCTGTCTCATCTGGGCTTTATGCCAGGATTGGGCCCCCACATCTCCCCATTCCAACTGCTACATGACTAGGGGTGAGGGATACTCAGAAAGGGCTGGAGAAGTCTGAAGTATCCAAAGAGGTCTGTATACACATGTGGGTGCTCAGCACTTGCTTCTCCGTGGCCTTCCCTGGGCCCACCAGCAAGGAGAGCTTGGCCACTAGGACTAGGAAGGCAAGAGACTGAAGGTCACTGGCAGCATGGYAGAACCACTGTGAATGGGGCCTTAGCTTTGTGGCCACAGGCCTCTGCTCCAACTTACTGATGACACTCTGCACTTTGGCAACAATACTGCTTGGGGGGGTTGGCGGGGTCTTCTCAGAGAAGTCACATGAATACAGCACATTGTCCACTGTTGTCCCATGCTCACTGTAGTTTAACAGCTCATAATGTTTGGTATTCTGAGGAGGAGGGAAGATAGATGTATGGTCAGCTGTGTGGGGCCTGTGACTAAGGGGAGAGAGAGAACATATATACGGAGGCCATACTGCTCTACTGAGGGAATTCTAATATTTTTCCCTAGTCACTGCCCCAGCCTTTTAGAATGGGGCTCAAGACTCACCTTGGGAAAGTCTGCCTTCCTAGTGACCCATACCCCCTTACTCTCCCACTATTCTTTTCCTCTGCCCTCCTCAGCACTGGCTTCTGTTGATAAGATATTCATCATGATAATCTCATAGGGACACATCCACAGAGCTTGCCTTCCTTCTGTTAGTCCCTTCCCCTACACCTATGAGTAACTTCAGCAGAAATGATAACCCTGCTCCTGGAAGCTGGTAGCCATGGTAGGATGCTTTTTTACACCAAKATTTCTCCAGGAATGACAGGGAAGAAAAGGACTCCCAACCCTCTTCCCTTCTTCTCAGGGCACTGAACCAAAACCCAGTACCAAGGAAAGGCCTCAGGTTCCCTCCCACCCCATCGCCACCCCTCACCTCATCGTAGAATATGCAGGCATGTTTCCCGGACACGTAGTTACAGTGACCATAGTTTGTAAGGCACACATCCATGTCAGCTCCTGCAAGGTGACAGAAGTAGAGGAAAAGGAAGGCAGAAAACAGATTATAAGGTGTATGTGTGGGGAATGTGGAAGAGGTGAGGGAGAGAGGGGGAGAGATTTGCATTTTACAGGTAAGCTATGTCCCAGCTTCAYTTAATTCATTCTTATTTATTTATTTACGGTACGAGGATTAAACCAGGGGCACTCAACCACTGAGCCATACCCCCAGCCCTATTTTATATTTTATTTAGAGACAGGATCTCACTGAGTTGCTTGGTGTCTYGCATTTTTCTCTGAGGCTGCCTTTGAACTCATGATCTTCCTGCCTCCTGAGCTGCTGTGATTACAGGTATGTGCTATAGCACCCAGCTCTTTTTATTTTTTGAGATGGGGTCTAAGTTGCTGAGACTGGCTTTGAACTTGTGATTTTCCTGCCTCAGCCTCTCAGGTCACTGAGATTATAGGTGTGTACCACTTTTTTTTTTTTTGGACAAAAGCTAATGTCTTTTCCAAACTCCTGCTCAACAATAACTGCTTAGGACTGAGACTACTCAGAACCTGAGTTACTAGAGGATGGGATACTTCCATGAAAACATAACATGGAGGTGCAGAGCCTTAAAATAATAATATAATAATATCTCAGGAAATTTGTAGGCTGAGAGCGAATCTGTACTTCTGTACCAGATGCAAGGCTAACTGAAGACTTAGTGTGACCCTATCATTTTTCAAAGACACCCAGGGACAGGCATTTGCCCTCTGCTTGCATCTTTCCTGGCAGAGTTTCAGATTACTGAGTAGTAGTCAGAGCTAATTCCCATCCCGGATAAGGTCACAATGGGGACAGACAAAGCAAAAGGGACAAACACAGAGAGAAGCACCTGATTATTTTGTTTCCTAAGTCACTCTTGTCTGGATATCCACTGGGTTACCCACCAACTCTGGAAAAAGGCTTCCATCACCTCTTTCTAGCTTGCTGGTAAGAGTGTTAGGACTGAATAGATCCAGTGCCTCTCCGGCTTCCAGGCTGGCTTACCTGTCCCGATGTAGAGGGTTCGATAGCACATGTTCACAGCTCCTCCCAACCCTAAGAGGGGGTAGAACACAGCTCGGGCCTGTACTTCCTTTCTTTGCACTGCAAGACAAACAAGGATAGGGTTATTCAGAAACTCAGAACCTGTGACCCAACCATGAATAAAACCTGGACTTTTGGCTTGTGGCCTAGAGAAAGTCCCAGTGAATGATTCATGTTTCCAAACACATTGAACACTTAGGATAAAGTATTCCTTCCCAATTCACATCATTTCCAATATGGGATAAGGACTATCTTTGAAAATGGTCACAGAATTTGAGAATATTAGTACTATAAGCTTCTGGGCTGCTGGTTAGCTAATTAGGGACATTCCAGATTATATTAAAGGGAAAACATGGAAAAATGGAAGCATAAACCAGTATTTCTCAAGCTTTAATGTGCATATGAATCACTGGTGGATTTTGTCCAAAAGTAGATTCTGGGTTAAGGGTACAGTTCAGTGGTAGAGTGTTGGCCTAGGGTTCAATCAGAGGGAGAGGGAGAGGGAGAGGGAGTGGAAGGGGAAGGAAGGAAGACAGGAAGGGTAAGTACATATTCTGACTCAGTAGGTCTGGGATGTGGACCTTCAATTTGCCTTTTTTTTTTGGTTGTAATGCTGGGGATTGAACCCAAGGGCATTCTACCACTGAGCCACACTCCCCAGCCTTTCAAAAAATTTAAAAAAATTTCAGACAAGGTCTTGCTAAGTTTCTGAGGCTGGGCTGGGGTTATAGCTTAGTGGTAGAGCACACTGGGTGAGGCACTGGGTTTGATCTTCAGCACCACATTAAAAAGAAAAAAAAATATATATATATATAAAAGCTTCCAAAGTTGGTCTAGAACTTGTGATCCTCCTGACTCAAGTGTCTTGAATTGCTGGGATTACGACTGTGCTTAGAATTTACAGTTTGGTTTTTTTTTAAATTTTTTTTTCTTTTAGTTGTAGATATTTTTATGTGGTGCTGGGGCTCGAACCCAGTGCATGTTAGGCAAGCACTCTGCCACTGAGCCACAACCTCAGCCCCTACAATTTACAGTTTTATGGTCTCATGAGATGCTGATGCTGCTGGTCTGGGGACCACACTTTGTTTGAAGCAGCAAGGCACTAATGTTCAGAGATAAYCAAGCAGAGTTATCACTTGAGAATTTCTAGGAGGCTTGCTCACTGTTATCCTATTTCTTACCTTGAACTCAAAAGTTCCCTCTTGGGAAACCTTTCTAACTCAAATATTAGGAAGCAAATGAACAGACAGAATACAACATATACCCCTAAGAAGTGGTCTCTGTTTT